AAACAGGAACTTCAGGTGATTACAGCGCTGAACATTTTGGAAATGTTTTGAAAAAAGGTCTTCAGCCAGAAAGAAGCCAAATCCAAATATCTAGACACTGCATTGGCCGGGAATCGGACCCGGGTCTCCCGCGTGGCAGGCGAGAATTCTACCACTGAACCACCAATGCTTCATTTTCCATCTTGTTTTGAGCATTCAAAATACTACAAATCACAAACTTCCACAAAACCCAAGATATGAGTTGTCCTTTACTTTTTTGAAAGTAAGGTCTTTAGGCAAGAAGAAAAATAATCCCAAAAGTATCATATTGAAAATGATCTAATCAGACATAGGTCTCCTGTGTGGCATTTGAGAATTCTCCCACTTAAACACCAATGCCTGCTGTTATCTAGAAATTGTGTGTCGGTAAAACTAGCACAAAAAGAAGACTTCAAGTGATTACAGCACTGAACGTTCTATTAAAATTTTGAAAAAAAAACAACCGACTTAAGGCAAAAAGAAATTCAATACAGAAAAAGAGAATATGCATTGATCAGGAATAGAACCCTGGTCTTCCACATGGCAGGCAAGAACTCTACCACTGAGCCACCAACTTCCTTACTTTTATATTTTATGCATTCAAATGACTACAAACAACAGACTTCCACAAAAACCCAAGATATGAGTTGTCCTTTACTTTTTGAATGATAGGTCTTTAGCCAAGAAGAAGAAAAGTCCTATAACTATGATACTGAAACGCCAAAACATTTGACCAAAGCCTCCCCTGTTCTAGGTGAGAATTTCCACTTAGCCAAAAATGCTAGCTTGTGTCTTTGGGTTGTGGGCCTTGAAAGAATTATAAACAGCAGACTTTAATAAAAACCCAAAACATGATTTGTCCTTTACATTTCGAAAGTAAGGTCTTTAGGCAAGAAGACGAATAATATCAAAAAATTTAAGAAACAGGAACTTCAGGTGATTACAGCACTGAACCTTTTGGAAATGTTTTGAAAAAAGGTCTTCAGCCAGAAAGAAGCCAAATCCAAATATCTAGACTCTGCATTGGCCGGGAATCGGACCCGGGTCTCCCGCGTGGCAGGCGAGAATTCTACCACTGAACCACCAATGCTTCGTTTTCCTTTTTTGTTTTGGGCATTCAAAATACTACAAATAACAGACTTCCACAAAACCCAAGATATGAGTTGTCCTTTACTTTTTTGAAAGTAAGGTCTTTAGGCAAGAAGAAAAATAATCCCAAAAGTATCATATTGAAAATGATCTAATCAGACATAGGTCTCCTGTGTGGCATTTGAGAATTCTCCCACTTAAACACCAATGCCTGCTGTTATCTAGAAATTGTGTGTCGGTAAAACTAGCACAAAAAGAAGACTTCAAGTGATTACAGCACTGAGCGTTCTATTAAAATTTTGAAAAAAAAACAACCGACTTAAGCCAAAAAGAAATTCAATACAGAAAAAGAGAATATGCATTGATCAGGAATAGAACCCTGGTTTTTCACATGGCAGGCAAGAACTCTACCACTGAGCCACCATTACTTCATTACCTTTTCATTCTAGCATTCAAAATACTACAAAGAACAGACTTGCACAAAAACTCAAGATATGAGCTGTCCTCTACTTTTTGAATGATAGGTCTTTAGCCAAGAAGAAGAACAGTCCTAAAACTATGATACTGGAAATGCCAAAACATTTGACCAAAGCCTCCCTTGTTCTAGGTGAGAATTTCCACTTAGCCAACAATGCTAGCTTGTGTCTTTGGGTTGTGGGCCTTGAAAAAATTATAAACAGCAGACTTTAATAAAAACCCAAAACATGATTTGTCCTTTACATTTCGAAAGTAAGGTCTTTAGGCAAGAAGACGAATAATATCAAAAAATTTAAGAAACAGGAACTTCAGGTGATTACAGCACTGAACCTTTTGGAAATGTTTTGAAAAAAGGTCTTCAGCCAGAAAGAAGCCAAATCCAAATATCTAGACTCTGCATTGGCCGGGAATCGGACCCGGGTCTCCCGCGTGGCATGCAAGAATTCTACCACTGAACCACCAGTGCTTCATTTTCCATCTTGTTTTGAGAATTCAAAATACTACAAATCACAAACTTCCACAAAACCCAAGATATGAGTTGTCCTTTACTTTTTTGAAGTAAGGTCTTTAGGCAAGAAGAAAAATAATCCCAAAAGTATCATATTGAAAATGATCTAATCAGACATAGGTCTCCTGTGTGGCATTTGAGAATTCTCCCACTTAAACACCAATGCCAGCTGTTATCTAGAAATTGTGTGTCGGTAACACTAGCACAAAAAGAAGACTTCAAGTGATTACAGCACTGAACGTTCTATTAAAATTTAGAAAAAAAAAACAACCGACTTAAGGCAAAAAGAAATTCAATACAGAAAAAGAGATTATGCATTGATCAGGAATAGAACCCTGGTCTTCCACATGGCAGGCAAGAACTCTACCACTGAGCCACCAATACTTCCTTACTTTTATATTTTATGCATTCAAATGACTACAAACAACAGACTTCCACAAAAACTCAAGATATGAGCTGTCCTTTACTTTTTGAATGATAGGTCTTTAGCCAAGAAGAAGAACAGTCCTAAAACTATGATACTGGAAATGCCAAAACATTTGACCAAAGCCTCCCTTGTTCTAGGTGAGAATTTCCACTTAGCCAACAATGCTAGCTTGTGTCTTTGGGTTGTGGGCCTTGAAAGAATCATAAACAGCAGACTTTAATAAA